TTCTTATATTTTTTCTTCTACCCTGAAGATGGAGGCGATACGTTCCTCCGAAACGTCGGTTAACGCCACATATACACGGTGCCAAATCCCAGAAGATTGCTTTCTTCATAGTCACCGCCGTGAAAGCCTCAAATCTTACAGAAAGAATTGATGTTTGCTGTGAGATCCATACATACATACATACATACATACATACATACATACATACATACATACACGTATATACAAACGTCTGGCCAAAATGAAGATATATTAATGTTAAAGCAAGTGATGCATAAGTTATATAGTTTTCTCTGTGTTTAAAGAGTTAAGTAACTTTAAGAGTCAACACATATTCAATGTCGCTAGGTACAAGGCCACGGAAGCAATGACGGGGTACGTAAAGCCGTCAGATTAGCAACGATAAGGTCTGTTTTCCTTTTTTCAAGAAATACATAGAATGACTTGCTGATCTCCAGGCGACAGCAGTAACAAGTCTGGGGCTGCACTGCACGAGATGCTCACGTAACATACTCGAAACGGCTGAGACCGTTGAGACTGCCTTCAGCTCTAGTGACGCAAGCTCACGACCACTACTTGTTCGTACAGGTATATCACGTTTCTTTAATTTCTCATTCCTTCTTCTCATGTTTATTTATATGTTAATAAATAATTATTGTCAAGAGATGAAGGGACAGGAGGTTGGAGAAAACTACATAATGAGGAGCTTCATAACCTGTACTATTCTCCAAGTGTAATTAAAATGATCATGGCAAGGAGGATGAGGTGGGAAGGACATGTAGCACGAATGGGGAAGACGAGGAATGCGTATAGGATATTGGTGGGAAAGCCAGAAGGAAAGAGACCGTAGGGAAGACCAAAGTGTAGGTGGGTGGACAGTATTAGAATGGATCTTAGAGAGATAGGATGGGATGGTATGGATTCGACTGATCTGGCTCAGGATAGGGAGTAGTGGAGGGCTCTTGTGAACACGGTAATGAACCTCTGGGTTCCATAAAATGCTGGGAAGTTCTTGAGTAGCTGCAGAATTGGCGGTTCCTCAAGAAGGCTCAGCTCCATGAGTAAGTAAGTAAGTAACTAATTATTGTCTAATCCACTTATAGACAGTTTGTTATTTATTTTCCTATTAATATTATGTTCAATTACTCGCTTATATATTTAAATTTTATCTATAATTTTTTTTTTGTGAAAATGAAGGATTATATAATATTTATACGGAATACGAGTAAGTAGCAACAGAGAATTGTGTTTATTAATTTCAAGCTTTTTGGGTCTGAGGTTCTCAAAATGGTGATTCTAAAAGAGTCAGTTCTGGTTTCTAATATCGTGAAGTCAGGAGACTGTCTGATAGTACCAAACAATATTCCATTTGCATGACCGCCTCTGTGGTCCAGAAGTCCCGGGTTTGATTCCGGGCGCTAAAAGATTTTTAGACAAGTTGTGCGTCTGTGATGGGGTCCACTCAGCCTCTTGAGGATAACTGAGGAGTTATTTCAAGGAAATAGCGGCTCCGGTCTAGAAAACCGAAATTAACAGCCGTGGGGATTCGTTGGGCTGACCACGCGACACCCTCTATCCGCTAAATTTGGCACTAACTACGCCGAAAAGCGGCGGTCGCTCGGTCGGTATAGTTCGCTGGCGGACTAAAACCACGGAGTTTGCTTTTGTTTTGCTTGATACTCATAAACAACTGGCGCATCTTGCATATTCTGTGTCCAGGTGAGACATGAATTCAGGACCAGACCCTTTAGAGACATCATCATCATGGCTACACAAGAAATTTCTGGAAACAGCCCTGAGGAAGGGCGACAACACCCCAAAGTTAAGAGTCACAAGTTATGACGTCAAGCTGGCCGTCGGTAAAGGAGACAACTACTGCAGCGACCTATTCCGAGTCAAGATTCATACTGCAGATGGAAAGGTTTTCAATTTGATCGTTAAGAAGGAGTTGGATGCTGAGGGAGAATTTGGCAAAATTTTGCAAAAATCATCGGCCTTCTTGAGAGAGACACACATGTACAGAAGTGCGGCTGTAAGGATGGCCAACATACTGCAGGAAATGTCACCAGGTTCGTATGACACATTTGTACACGAAATGAGTATTAAGCAACCTCTGGGATTCCCCATACTCAGAAGGCGAAAGACTGTTACGTCATCACTAGAAAGCTATTAGCTTCTTTTTAATTTGCTTATTTAACGACGCTGTCACTATCGACGATTGGATGATTAATGAATGTGGAGCGGTTGATGAACTGAGAATTAATACGACCAACAGAAATATCAGGAGGATGCCTGACCCAGTGCAACTTCGCCCACCACAAATCCCATATAACCTGACCCGGGCCACCGCCTGAAGAACCCCGTTTCTAAGCAACCGATCGGTAAACACACAACAATAGGGGTACTGCTGAAATAGGTGCTCTCTGTTCGGTCCGTGAAACGTGGTTATGCAGAAGAGTTCAGTTGACTGCATGCCTCACATGCAGCCCTCCCATTGTTAACATCAAAATTTCGCCTTAATATAGCCCTCCCAACGTTAGCTAAAACAAACAAACAAAAATCCGATCATATGCTCTATCTTTACCAGAAGGACAAGCGGGCACTGCCTGGGAACCTTCAAAATCTGAGATATAGTTTCTTCCCCCCCCCCCGCCCCCAATGTAGTGTCTCNGCAATTGGTGGAATGAAGATTGGCAGGGGAAACCGAAGTACTTGGAGAAAACCTGCCCCAGCGCCACTTTGTCCACCAAAAATCCCACTTGACCAGACCCGGGCTCGAACCCGGGCCGCCGCGGTGGGAAGTCAGTGACTAACCGCTTGAGCTATGGCGCGGGCGGGACCGAAGGTTAAGAAAATGTTGCACTATTTGTCGTTTTCCGCGTTAATTCGATCGCAACTGGTTCCTCCTGTACACTGTATGTCTTGAGAACCCCTAACAGCGCGCTGCTTATAGTCCACACAGACACCGCTACTGAGCTATGTTGCCAAATTTGATGGTGACGTGTATCGCCACAACTAAGCATCTCAAGATGCTTGTTGTACAGCATTTTCGACTACTCTATGGAGGACCTGAAGGCGAATTTCGCTTCACGCTGTTTACAGATACCTAAGTGTTACTACTTTCTGCATCACACTGTAACTTGTGGTTGCTGCTGTTGCAGGTGAGTGCTCACAGTTCGCGGCGCGCTATCTGTACTCCTGTCCGGGAACCATAGTGATGCAAGACCTGCGTGCTGAAGGCTTCAAAATGGCAGAGCGTCGACAGGGACTAGACTTCTCTCACTGTTTGCTCGTAATGCGCATGCTCGCCAGGTTCCACGCTGCTTCCGTTGTTCTTCACGACAGGGACCTTGAAACAATGTCCCTTTACGACAAGAGTGCCTTCTCTGATCCCGAGATGCAGGAGGGCATACAAAAATTTGTTTCTGGTACGTATCCCTGATCTCATTAGGGCGAAACGACAGCCGATAATGGGGTTTCATTTGTAACAGCTTTTGCCGGTGTATAGACCTCAGGTATATTTTCCACCCATGAAGTGCTAAGTATCAAGATTAGTATGTTCCATTTGAGGAGGTTCTCACAGCGGTAAAAATTAAACGCTCCATCGTCTGTGATGTAACGCCGTGTAATCTGATGGAAATCAACTTATGTTTCAGAGGAACATATCGCCTCCATCCTCAGGGTCGAATAGGCCGAGCAAGATACCAGCTTCAAAGAAGGTGGCGATGTTCCTCCGAAACGTCGATTGACTTTCAACGGACTACACGGCGATATATCACATAAGATAGAACTCTTTACGACCACCGCTGCGAGAGACTCAGATCCTGTTAAAATGATAGACCTACACACAATTCGGAATGGGGTATCCTGAGTATGCCCTTCGTGTTTTTCCTCTGTTCTCCAAGACTAATATCGATTTAGAACCTCAAGTAGGCCACGATCTATTCCGTCTACTTCCTTATTAATTCATCATTGCACGGTCGTACATTTTACGCTATATATCCTAGCAACTTAAACAATTGGGATCAGTTCTTGAAAAGCCGCCAGTTGCTCAGCCACTCAGATCTCTGCCTTAAGCCAGATGAATGTAGTCCACACCCTCTCCTACCGCATCCTCTTCCCTTGAGGCTGATTTTATTTTGCTTAAGCCTCTCCAAAGAATTCGTTGAAGCCCGAAGCTATGTGTAATATTTCGTAACAATTTCATACTTTACGGTGTTAGTCCCGAGCCGAAACAGCAAGCTGGAAACAACCCCTTGTCGGCTGTCCGCGACTAGTTATTCAATATATCATACTTCCCCCGCAACACTGAACAAGTGCAGACACAAACACAAACGGATATGACGTCTATATTCCCCGTTACAGGTACCTTCCGGACAGTGGTGAAGGCCGTGCAGACCTGGCCGGGATTTGCAGACCGCTATGCAGGAAAGCTCGACGCTCTAGCGGACTCCATGTTGGACCGCATCATACAGGTCACCCAGAGGGACGATACCGCCTTCAACGTGCTCATACACGGTGACCTTTGGGTCAACAATATTCTCTTCCGGTACTCCGACGGCCCTGTAGACGTCCGGTTCGTAGACTTCCAGATTCCGCATTTTACCTCGCCAGCCATCGACTTGCAGTACTTCTTCAGCACGAGCCCGTGCGAGGACGTGAGGGAGAACCACCTGGACAGCTTGATGAAGGTGAAGTTCAGGCCATCTTCAATTCTGTCACTGCTCGTTACGTAACGCAGTCCAGTTGCAGGACGTGTCAGTTGAAACGCTGGCACACATTCGCGTGTAGTCCGTTCATGCATGACTGAGTGAGAAAGAGAAGCAGTTCGTCTAAATAATATAGAGTTCAGTCCGTACCTCACAGGAAACACATCACGTGTCCGCTAAAAAGCACAACCGGTTAATGCTGTATAAGGAAACAGTCGCTGTTTATTGTAAGAACAATACGGAACACTCCGTTTAGTTCTTTTAAGCCAGACTGAGCTAACCTTCAATAGGAGCACCGATTTGTTGTGATGTAATCCTTCGACAACACTGATAGGAAGTTAACAATATTACGAACATTATGTTACAGGAATACCACAACACCCTCTGTGAATGCCTGAACGCCATGGGCTACTCCCATAAGCACATCACTCTGGAAGATCTGTGGAAGGAATATAACAACAAGGCACTGTATGGGCTCTTTGGGGCATGCTGTGTGTTACCCATTGTTCTGGCGGACAAAGGTTTCGATATAGATGCAATTTTGAAATCAGGGATTGGAGAGGAGATTGAGGTAGTCAATGGGGACACTTATAAGAAGGCCCTGCAGCGAATGTTGCCCAAATTTGAAGAGAATGGAGTGTTTCTGTCTGGAGAAATTTCATCAACTCACGAGTTTCAGAATGCATAGAGCTATACCTCCACGCCCTCGTACTTCTTCATATCGTGGTGTTTGTTATAGCACCGGCACGGCCTCATCCCCACGTCCATTTTTTACTTCTTTCCAACTTCGTGTAAAGTAGGGCTTATGAGTACCAGAATAACTCTGTGTCAATGTAGTGACTATGCTACTGCCTGAACTACCACGGAATCCAGGCTCGATTCCCGGCAGGTATTAAAGGTTTTCTCTTCTCCAGATCCGCTGTGGTACTCATCAAATCCCCTATTCAGTGGATACTGATGTCCTCTTCCTGTTGGAGTAACGCGGCAGGAGCGTGCGGCTGGCCACTGACCTACATCATATATCTCCATTCCTCCATACGTCTTCTTGCTGTGGTGTTTAATTAAGCACAGGGACAACGTTACGCTCCGTTTCCCTTCGAATTATTTTAAGGTCCTCACTGCTATATATTAGACCCGGCAGAAGAAAAGTTTTTAAATAAATGTTCCTTTTTTTTTCACTGGCTCTATAGCCCCCTTGGGCCCTGGCCTCTGATTTTCAATTTCATGATTATTTTACAGAGGATAGGACTAGGCCGCTACCTAACCACATGACAACACAAACACATACCAAACATGCATGCCTTGTGTGGTTTTCGAACACACGATCCCGGCTTCCGAGCGGGCGAAGACAGTACAGCTAGGCTACCGTGACCGGCGAATAAATGTTCCTAGTATCCATGAACATACTTTCTATATCATGTACAAGACTGTAGTCACCGACTTCGAGGAGATCATGGATTATGACCTTGAATAGTGCGATTTGAAAGGCGTCGTGAACCTGCAGCAATCAGCAACGCTCTGGTTGGCAGAATACGACAAGCCTACGCTATTTCGAGTGCCAGAGTGTCACGCAGACACTCATTCTGAGAACAATGTTATCATCCTAGTTAATCTCCGAGTTCTGGGTTGGAAACGCGAGCTCTTCATCGCAAAATTCTGCAACTAAGGCTAGGGACGCACTGACGTGACAAGCCGCGCGCGGTTTGTCGCGTGTTGTCGCTCGCGGCCGTTATTTGTATTGCTTTTATGAGCCGCGCGCGGTTAAGTTTTGGAACGCGGCACAGAGGCGGCAGAGCTGTCGCACACCTAATATGTACAATTAACGGACGCGCGCGACAAAGAGCGGCTAGCCGCTCGCGACTAGTCGCGTCAGTGGGTTTTCAGCCTAAATCGGTAAATCTATTGTCACGTAAATAAGAATGGCCTCATGACGTAATCAGTTCGAACTGAAGTACAAGTAGATGTGTGCGTGCGTGTGTGTGTGTGTGTGTAGTGTGCATATATGTATTCATTTGGTTAGAGAAGTGTCGGCGGCCGCAGTTCTACACATGCAGACACCGTCAAGAGTGAATCACTGTTTATAATGTCCAGTAAAATTAAACCTATCCGTGTAAGAGAACATTGAGGCCCATAGGGTTGTGAGACGTCGAGGCTCCCACAGATGGCGGTAAGTTTGTCAGCCTTAAATGCCGGCCGCCCTTTAACCACCACGAAGATTCCTGGTACTCATTTCTGTTAGAGGCTGAGTAGACCCCAAAGGCCATAGTGCGGCTGGAAGGACTAGGTCAAATGAAAAATCCAGTGACCTCATTGGGAAATAAGACAGTCACTTTCCAGCTTGTAGCATAGTGAGTGTAGAGCATAAATTCAATTGAAAACAGACATGTATGTAGTGTAAAATTGTAAGAAACCTCAACAGAAAGATCAATAAATATTCTATTAATAACACAGGTTGTGTACATGCCAGTAAAACACTTAAAGACAAGAACTAACATATAACGGCTCAAGAAGGATCTAAAAGGAAGGCGTTTGTGTAAAAGTGTCACCTGATTAGTGCGAGACCAAGGTTCACATGAAACAGAACTGAAGCACACAACAAACACAGGTGAGCAGTAAATAATACACACTCGTAATGGCCCTAGAGAGACGCAAATGTACGCTTTCTTGGAACGATGCCCAAACAAATTCGCCTTCCTCGATGTAATCTTACCACTGATATTTGTCGAGGAGTGCAAAGTGTGAAACTCGTCTTTATGCGAGTTCACTTCCTCCCTCGCAGCTCAACAAACAGGTTCTTCTCAGACACTCTGAATCTTCGGCTCAAACCTCCAAGAAGGTCATGACCTGCTGTATGTGTGTGTGTGTGTGGGGGGGGGATCGAGAGGTATTTTAGTTCCATCCACGCGCAGTTATGGCAAATTAGTAACATTCAATGTGGGTGCCTTGGGAAAACGTAGCTATAACCGGAGTATATTTCGTGAGTGTACAGGAACATTTTATAGCTTACTGCAAGTACAGAGAGGCTGTAAAGCTATTTATGTTCCTGCTGTCACCGTACAGCCTGATAGGGACCTGCAACAGTGTGCAGAACTGCACTTTTCGTGACTGTACAGGAACGTTTTATAGCTAACTGCAGATGTAGAGAGGCTGTAAAGCTATTTAGGTTCCTGCTGTCACCTTACAGCCTGACAGGTACCTGCACAAATGTGCAGAACTGTAATTATTGTGACTCTACGGAAACAGTTTACAGCGGTTGTAAAGCTGTTTAGGTTCCTATTGCAAGACTGCATTATGGGGGTACAGTAAAATTATGTTTTGTTTTAGAGGATCGTGTTATCACAAATTCTGACCCCTGACATTTTGTGTTCCTTTAATGACACAGCAAATTTCAGACTCGCACAAAAGTGAAGCACGCAGAAGGGAAATATCGGGAATACACGGCACACACTCCTAAGGACACTCTAACGGTTCAATAGTTCGGGTTCTTTGAACGATAACCAATTCGATAAGTGAGGAACCGCATTCACTACAAGACACAATTCCATGGGGAGACACGACTGACGGATCGCTTTCTGAATTAGGCAAGTGTTACAGTCTCGACTGAGACAGGAAGACGAACACGAGCGACTGAGATTGTAAGTACTCTGAAGGGCACGATCGTGATCTGTTTCAGGGTGTAGCGTTTTTACAACATCTCTGTGTCCGTGTCATCATCACTAGAAAGTCACTAGATTCCATTTTCAACAGGAGATTATAAATAAAATGTCTACTTCGCTGAACATGCACGCGTTTTCTTCCGCAAATTTACCTGCTCTTTCATTTGTCGCCTGAAGTGTCTGAAGAGAATCTAGGGAAACCTTACTGAAGACATGTGAGTACATTGCTGAGATTGAAGCGACTTATCTCCAGAGCTCAAGTCTGTACTGTCACCGGCTTCATGTATGTATATAGATCCTCTGGACTGTGAGTTGGTACGGGTATAGTTGCAAGCAGCTGTGGCCTATTTCTGTTCTGAAACAGGAGACAAGACAGTTATAGGCTTTACGTCTTTCGAGAGGAAAGTGAAGTGACTATAGAAATAGAAATAGAAATAGAAATAGTGGGAGGAGGGAAGGAGTGAAGGGCGTGGAGGAACAGAAGAATTCCCGTCTCTGAAGGTTCCTAGGCAGTGACGATTCGTCCTTCAGGTAGAGACAGGCTGTAGAAAAGGTAAAAGAGTTAGGAAGTGTATATATGTAAATAATATTTAAGCTGTTCCTATCTCACAGAAAACAAATCTCTATTACAAAGACCAAGAAAATAATGTTTATGACGATAATTTATGTTTATTGTGAGAACAATGTGAGATACATACATACATGCACACGTACAAACGTCTGGCCAAAATTAAGGAATTTTCAAGGTTAAAGCAAGTGATGCAATTTCCTCTGTGCCTTGAAGGGTTATGTAATCTTAAAATTCGACAAATAGTCGTTAGGTACAAGGTCATGCAAGCAATGACGAAATACTTTAAAGCCTTCAGATAAGGGATGATAAGGCGTGCCATTTATGTATTCGTATGTAGTCCTGTTTATCTCAGGAGAGCAAGTGGAACGATAGCATATCTGAGTGTGCAGGAGAAACTGACAGCTGCAGGCAACATAACCCTGTTTGTATATCTTATTTCTCCATTTCTTCATTCTCTGTTCTAGATTAAATAATTATTTATTTTTATCTACTTCATTCATAGACATGTTCTTTCTGTTTCCTTTCTTCTCAAACAATATTTAATTATTCGCTCATTTATGTTTTAAATGCTTGCTTTTTATTTGTGTGAAAATAAGGTGTTTGTAGTGTCGGTGTGGTACGGATTAATCTGGCTTCTGATAAGAAGCACGTACGAAAACGTATAGAGAATCTCAGTACCATAAGCTACACGAATTACAATCAGATTCTCAAGAGGAATTTACCTCATTCAGTTAGTGTCAGTCTGTGACCGCAAAATTCAGCATTGAGCATGTACTATGCTCAGAGTTACTGGGTTTTTGGACTTTGTCCATCGTCCGGTATTCTAGAAACGACAAAACACAAGATTTCGGAAACTGGTTCTGTTTCCGTCCTCAGGTGAGGGGGATACATCTACTTTGCTGGATCCCTTAGAAAGAGCTAACCTCAATCACAGGCCAGGTCCTCATGTGAGATGGAGACACCTACTCTGTTGGGTCCCTTAGAAAGAGCTAACCTCAGTCACAGGGCCAGGTCCCCATGTGAGAGGGAGACACCTACTTTGTTGGGTCCCTTAGAAAGAGCTAACCTCAATCACAGGGCCAAGTCCTCAGGTGAGGGGGAGAAACCTACTTTGTTGGGTCCCTTAGAAACAGTAACCTCAATCACTGGGCCAGGTCATGTGAGAGGGAGACACCTACTCTGTTGGGTCCCTTAGAAACAGCTAACCTCAATCACAGGGCCAGGTCCTCATGTGAGGGGGAGACACCTAGTCTGTTGGGTCCCTTAGAAAGGACTAACCTCAATCACTGGGCCAGGTCCTCATGTGAGAGGGAGACACCTACTCTGTTGGGTTTCTTAGAAAGAGCTAACCTCAATCACGGGGCCAGGTCCTCAGGTGAGAGGCAGACACCTACTCTGTTGGGTCTCTTAGAAAGAGCTAACCTCAATCACAGGGCCAGGTCCTCAGGTGAGAGGCAGACACCTATTCTGTTGGGTCCCTTAGAAACAGCTAACCTCAATCACAGGGCCAAGTCCTCTGGTGAGGGGGAGACACCTACTCTGTTGGGTCCCTTAGAAAGAGCTAACCTCAATCACCGGACAACCCCTGAGAGCAGGCTTTTCGAAGGGAGATAACATGAAAACATGTACTAAAAATTGTGACAGGGCACGCACATGCGTGAAATTAGTATAACCGATTATCCCCTCTCATTGCCCTATACACATGCATATGCATAAACATACTGAGTAATTAATTATCTCATAGCAATTTCGGTGGCGATTGTAATATGTTTTTTAAGCAAGTAATTGGCTGCAGCATGGCGCAACATTTTGCAACAAGCTAGCAAATTAAACGCTAGGCAGAACATTACACCATATGAGGTAATATTGCGCAATACCACGAAAGTCGTAGAAGGATCGAGGGTTCATTTTTCAGTGACTATGGTGCAATATATGTAGAACGTTCTGGAAGCTTTCGATGATGTAATGCAGCTTCAACGTATCAATTTGATTGGCTGTACTTTCACCTCGGGGAATCCCAAAGGATTGAGAGCCAATCAGAGTTTAAGCGGACTTCACCTTACGTCACGGCAAGAAAGCAATTTGTGACTGGGGAAAAGAGTCTGAAGCCAGCCTCTGAATCGGACGGACATGAAGAAGAGTCGCTCTTCCGCGTAAAGGTGTAACAAGCAAACTCCAATCTCTGTTTCGCTAATATCAGATTGGAAGGGACTGATAATGACTGTGTGTAGTGAATAATATTGCGATTAAAATTAATCTTCGTTTTACAACTAGTACGTGATAAGTGCTGACTTATCCCCTCGTCTCGTCGGAACAAGGTCCGTAAAATCCCTGAAACTTGGCATCTATTAACCTAGCATCTTCCTCAGCTCATCGTAACTCAAGTTACTGGAGCCCTATTCTGCGCCTGTTCATTGAAAGTTCCCTAATTACAACGTAGCTTGAAGACGGACGGAGCAGACAGCAGAGTTGTGAGAGGAAGGTGTGACGTGACGTCATCGGCAGCAGCAGAGGGACTTTATGTCACATTGGGGAGAGGAGCGTGCTAGGATAGAAGAAGTAGAAATTTATGCTACAAGCCTAGCCAATAAAAGCAAGTGCATGAGCACCAGTGCATAGAAAAACTAAATCTGTGAAGACTTTTTTAATGTGAAAAATAATGTATATACAAAAATGGCCTATGCAATTCTATTACAGCGGTTTCCCCGCGATTCTTAATATGGATCTTAATTTGGCCGCGCCATAGCTCAAGCGGTTAGTCGCTGGCTTCCCACCGCGGCGGCCCAGGTTCAATCCCGGGTGTGGTCAAGTGGGATTTGTGGTGGACAAAGTGGCGCTGGGGCAGGTTTTCTCCGAGTACATCGGTTTCCCTTGCCAATCTTCATTCCACCAATTGCTCCACAATCACCCTCACCTATCATCTGGGGCTGGTACAATAGGCCAGAAGTGGCCGCAGTACAAGGGACTTAGTCCCACCCCACTAGCAATAAAAAAATAATAAAAACAAAATTTGATACGATCGTGTCTACTTTATTTTAAATACAGAATACTGTTATGTAGACTGCATGATTTTGTATACATTTAATGTAACTTATACATGAGCTATGCTCTTTTGTTCACAGACACTGAAGTCTGCAACCAACCCATTTCTGCGTCTTCAGCCTTCTATGTCTAGCAGAGACCCCGCAATGTCAACAGTTGAACAGCCCGTCTGGTTGGACAAAACTTTCCTGGAAACCTCACTACGCTCTGAGTACGGAAACACGCTCAGGGTTGCTAAGTATGGTGTCACTGTGGCAACTGCTAAGGGAGACAACTACACAAGTACAATGTATCGCGTTACCATAGAAACTACGTCAAACAAAACATTCACTGTTGTCATCAAGAATCTTATAGGATCTGGAGTAGATGGATGCATGTTGCGGCAAAGTTCGGCCTTCGTAAGAGAAACACGTATGTTGAATGTTATGCTTCCCAGGTTGGCAGCACTGTTACGGGACGCGATTCCAGGTGAGTTGGTTCTTGATGCTATTGTTTTACATTATTATTATTATTATTATTATTATTATTAGTGGGGCGAGACTGAGTTCACTTGGTACTGTGACCACTTCTGGCCTATCGTACCAGACCAAGGTGATAGGTGAGGGTGATTGTGGAGCAATTGGTGGAATGAAAATCGACAGGGGAAACCGAAGTACTCAGAGAAAATCTGTCCCAGCAAAACTTTGTCCACCACAAATCCCACTTGACCAGACCCGGGCTCGAACCCGGGTCGCCGCAGAGGGAAGCCAGCGACTAACCGCTTGAGCTAGGGCATGGCCCTCTTAAGGCTAGAGGAAAAAGTTTTGTGCAAGGCGTCTGTTACTTCATTTACAAAATGCCTAAATTTATTTTAAAAAGAAAGAGAAGTACATGTACATTAGTTGTAGGAGTATATTCTTGGTATTTTCTTTATTGCGAGTGGGGTGGGGCTAAGTCCCTTGTATTGCTAGTGGGTGGGGCTAAGTCCCTTGTATTGCTAGTGGGTGGGGCTAAGTCCCTTGTATTGCTAGTGGGGTGGGGCTAAGTCCCTTGACTGCGGCCACTTCTGGCCTATTGTACCAGCCCCATGTGATAGGTGAGGGTGATTGTGGAGAAACTGGTGGAGTGAAGATTGGTAGAGGAAACAGAAGTACTCAGAGAAAACCTGCCCCAGCGCCACTTTGTCCACCACAAATCCCACAGACCCGGGCCGCCGCAGTGGGAAGCCAGCGACTAACCGCTTGAGCTATGGCGTGGCCATTAAGATTATAGTACTGTCCTTAATGCTTCAGGGCAATGAGTACAAATATCACTAAACTGCTCAATAACGGGTTAGCAAGGTTAATCTTTTCAGTTTCGAAATGTATGTGCTCCCTCCAACCGGCCCTCTTTGAAATCTCCTGGATGAATGCGGTAAAACGGGGGGTAAAAGGAGGTCGGCGCGAAAGACTGACAACATTACCGCCATCTATGAGCCGACTGTCTAGAAAATGTGGGACCCTCAACGCCTCACAAACCTAAGGGCCTCCACGGCCTGTTATAGGGATAGCTCTACCATTTTGCCTTGACCTGTGTGTATGATGTCTCTGACCCTACACTTGGCTGCTTACAGAGTGATGACGCTCGTATCGAATGAAATTTATTGCCCACAGAAAAGCTGAGCCGTTTGGGGCCCGGTACATTTTCTCCACAGACGGAGTGATCATAATGGAGGACTTGACCCCTCTGGGGTTCCGGATGGTAAATCGAGGAGTGGGTCTGGACCTCGCACACTGCCTCGTCGTGATGAGAAGACTTGCAACATTCCACGCCGCTTCGGTGATCCTATACCAGCAGGACCCAGAGTGCATGACGCCTTTTTTGGAAAGTCTATTTTCGGAATCCGTCAACGAGAAGCAATTTCAACAGATGATCTCAGGTGTGTGCCTCTGTCAACCTGAAACAATTTACACAGTTGTTCTCAGGTGTGTGCCCTCTATCAACCAGAAGCAATTTGCACAGATGTTCTCAGGTGTGTGCCTCTGTCAACCTGAAACAATTTACACAGTTGTTCTCAGGTGTGTGCCTCTGTCAATCAGAAGCAATTTACACAAATATTCTCATGTGTGTGCCCTCTATCAACCAGAAGCAATTTGCACAGATGTTCTCAGGTGTGTGCCTCTGTCAACCAGAAACAATTTACACAGATGTTCTCAGGTCTGTGCCTCTGTCAACCAGAAGCAATTTACACAGATGTTCTCAGGTCTGTGCCACTGTCAACCAGAAGCAATTTACACAGATGTTCTCAGGTCTGTGCCACTGTCAACCAGAAGCAATTTGCATAAATGTTTTCAGGTGTATGTCTGTGTGCAAATTTCTTTTATGTATACGTGAATATTGTTCAATTCTGTTACGTAATGGTGTGAATTATGGTACTTATTCACCAAAACTAGAAGGGACTTTCTGCTTGCATCTTCAGGGTAGAAGTGTAAGCAGTATGGGATGGAGCGGTTAGTGATGTGGGGAAAGGAGAAGACAAACTTAGACCAAGAGAAGATTGACGCTGATCATTCTGAGCCCTTATTTATTTGGATGACCATGAAATTTATTTCTAATTAATTCTCGGTAATTTTAATTTCAAAAGTCTTATGTTTCGATATTACTGGAAATGTATCGTGATCTATAATATCGTATTTCATCGTCTGGGACGTGCAATACGATGTTTACGTTGAAAATTTCTAGATTCTGGCAGAAACAAGAAGTCCGGAGTTATGACATTTACGATCAGTCATAAATTTAGCTCGGGTACAGGGAACCGGACGCGCCTAAAAGGACAGGTCAGAGCTTGTTACAATTGCCTGTGAATGAGGGCCAGTATGATTGGGTTGCCTCGTTCAAGCTTCCTACGGAAGATGGGATGAAAATGTATATGTCAACACCATCTTTCGAATTCCCGGCGTGGGGGTGCAAGCCATTCCACAAAAGGAGAGACTTTCACAATATTCCGAACTGAACGGACGTGACCCTTGCACGCTCCGGGACATAGCTAGCCGATAGTGTAACGCTGTAACTTAAAGCTAAGAATACATTAATTTAACAGTGTGGTGAATTAGCAGGTGAATAAACGTCAATTGGCTCAACTCTCAGAAAAACGCTTTCTGCGGCATCGCTACCCTGAGACTCATGCAAACCGACCCAGCTACTTTCCCGTACCTATACCGATCTTCCTTAGTTTGATCTGTGAGGACAACTTCCAGTAGCCATCATACACTGTCCTAAGGTAGAAACAGGTGTAGCAGGGATAACACCATTCCTACTGCGCCGATACAAGCAAAGGCGGGTTGGAAAAGAGCGGTGTTAAGATGAATGTGTAGATAATAAATATCAAACCCATGGAGTTCATTCCTTCTGAGAAGCCAATAGTTGCCCATCTACTCAAGGAATAAATTCTAAAAATTACTGACCATGACGTATTACACTAGGAATTACTAAGTTTAGGAATATTTTTAGAGAATGTAACTTTCCGGAAATTGGATTTCTTTCGATCTTCGGGCAGTTAGGTGCGTTACACAGAGCTAACCTAATTTACTGACGTCTGATTGCGATTAATGCCATCAAGAACACCTACTGGACCCAGTGATCCAGATTAACCGTTTTTAAGTACCCAACTGCGCACGTTCATCAAAACAGTTCTACCGGAAGAGGGAAACAGATGGAGTTTCCGAAACGTCTTTGTATCTCTGCATATAGCACAATAGACAAAGTCCCTGAACTCAGAAATCCCGAACCTTCAAGCAATTGTCCGCATTTCATGGAACCGTGTTCATATCTGCACGCCACTGATACCTAACCTGAGCAAGATCAGTCAAATTCACCCTTTCATCCGATTTTTCAAGGTATTTTTAATATTACCTTCCCATTTAAGCCTACGTTTACCTAGTTGTCCTTTTCCTTCAGGTTTTATTGCCATAACTTTGTGTATTTCGCCCCTCTCCAGTGCGTGCTACACGCACTGTCCATTTCATTCATTCATTACAACGGAGGTAATACTGATATGATTTGGGTGTAATCACGGGTGCTGGCATGGTGGGGCGGACCAGGCATTGTCTTCACTCTATTCCTGGAAAGAATTAATATTGAAGACTGAAATACATAAAACAAAAAGATAAGCATACGAGGGAGAGTCAGTAAATAGGTCACAAATATATATAAAGCACAAAACGTGTGATATTCGAATCTGGAAAAAGCACTTATTTCTCGACATGCCCTCCACCAACATTGATACACTTGTCCCATCGCGTCGAAACCAGCAACACACAAATATTTTGACTGTTGTCTCAGCCACTTCCTAATCCCCGTTTCAACTTCATCAGGGAAACGTTTCTCGACTCAGTTGTGAACCGCTTTACGTAACAAACACTTCCCACTGTAAACAGGAAACATTTTTTTATGAATATCCTTTGAATTAAGTCCTTTTGTCCACAGAAAACGCACAACAGAACTCTATTCTTCGGTAGTATACTAAGCATGGTCGCCATTTTGTCTACTGAAAACAGCTTCTGAATATGCGCATGCGCGTCTGCTATCTAGACTGTCATGAAGCTGGACTGTGCTGCTTTAGTGATACACGCAGAAAACATTATGTCCATTACAACCGTTTTACTTCCATTTGTGACAGATTCACTGACTCTCACTCATATTAATTTTCTCTCTACCCCGAATACTCTATGGAAATCAGTAAAATGGCCATAAATGGCTCGCACGTAAGCATGAATGCAAATTTTCTGGCTGCCCCATTCGAAAAGAAAGTTTAGTGCCCCCCCCCCCCGCGCCTNCGGAATAAAGATGTCAGGGGGGACAGTCCCTCATTCCTTCGCTCTTTGAGCAGATAATAATTTGTATGGCTTCCCCTACTTTACGTCTCCACTGACATTTCTATTCTGGTAGAGAGATGGGGGAGACTGGGGCCAACTGTAATACTTCTTACACTTCATTCTGTAATTATGTTTCCTTTATACGAAGTCTTATTCCGGTAGAGATGGGGGAGACTGGGGCCAACTGTAATTCTTCTTACACTTCATTCTGTAATTATGTTTCTTTTATATGAAGTCTTATTAACGAAATTTGGGAGTGAGTGAGCATACAATTTTGCACCCGATGGAAGTGGATGCTCGAATACAACATTAACTTGTACAGTTGTTCAGGAATTGTTTTACAGCTGAGGAGAGTGTGTGACATTCTTATGTTCAGGTCTCATGAAGCGAGTGAGAGTCGAAGTGGAGACTTGGCCAGACTTCTCGCACTTCGCGAGGAAGTTACGCGCTCTAGAGAAGGACGTGCTGGGGCGCATGTGCAGGGGAATGAGGCGCGACGACAAAGCTTTCAACGTCCTCAACCACGGGGACGCGTGGAAGAACAACATGCTGTTTAGGTACTCGGACACAGGACAGCCAGAATCCGTAATATTCGTCGACTATCAGCTGAGCCACTTGACGTCTCCAGCTGTCGACCTACGGAAATTTATATACACGAGTCCCACAGAAGATGTACGCATGCGTCATGAGAACACCTTGCTGCAGGTGAGAGCTCAGAAAGCATGTTCAAACACGGCATTCGTTGCCAGAATTCTAAATTAGATTGTATGGATATATTGTATGTATAGATCCAAATTCATAATTAGAATGATCAAGTCAAGGAGGATGGGGTGGGAAGGGCATGTAGCACGAATGTGGAGAAGAGTAATGCATATAGGATATTGGTGGGAAAGCCAGGAGGAAAGAGACCACAGGGAAGACCAAGGCGTAGGTGGGTAGACAATATTAAAATGGATCTTAGAGAGATAGGATAGGATGGTATGGACTGGATTGATCTGGCTCAGGATAGGGACTAGTGGAGGGCTCTTGTGAGCACTGTAATGAACCTTCGGGTTCCATAAAATTCTGGGATGTTCTTGAGTAGCTGCATAATTGGCGGCTCCTCAAGAAGGACTCAGCTCCATTAGTAAGTAAGTATTGATGATGTAGAGATCTGCGTCACTGTGTGTTGATGACGCCCTCTCAAAGCACCACACTACAGCCTACTGCATGGTGTTTGCAGGAGTACCACACCGCGCTTTGTGAAGCTCTGGGAGCCTTGGGGTATTCCCAGAAGCTGATAACTCTGGAGGAACTACGGGCAGACTACGACAGCAGAGCGATCATGGGACTCATATACGTATCTACAGCGCTGCCTATCATAATGACGGACTCACACCCGGGTTGGAGCATAGAAGTCTCGCTGCAGGATGACGCTCCTCCTTGTCTTACCTTCTCAGAGACGTACAAGACTGCTTTGAAAAGGATGTTGCCCATATTTGAGGAGCAGGGTGTGTTTCGGTAGATATAACAGGGCATTCTCATGCTCGGGACGACTTGTGGCTTTGTTTAAAACATTTCTGAAATTTCGTCATAACTTCATTTGCCAATCCGGTCTCGAATCGGACGTTCCCACAGAATTGACCATGAAATGTGTTATCGTCTGGGACGTAATCTGCAACGTAGTCCTGGCAGTTGGTTTATTGTGCGACACGGAAGATGGAGGCAGTACCTTCCTCCGAAACGTCAATGAATTTGTACGGGACTACATAGCGTCACATAACAGAAGACAGTGCTCTTATATTATTATTATTATTATTTTATTCAAACTGCAGATGGGTTTTCGCCCGGTGGCAGTGGTACTACAATAAGACACAACACATAAATACACATATCACACAAAATAACACACCACACTCAAACAAAACACAGCACACAAAACTAGCACACACTAGAACGCAGTAAATACAATGAAAATACAATTACAACTACAATTATATAAATTAATATTAATAAAATAATAAGTATACTATACACTAAACAGTAATAGTAGTGGAATGTGTTGTGTCATGTTCTGATGTGCCCACATTTCACCATGACTTTCCCTTCATCCCACTTCACTTCACTTCATATCACTTCAGTTCGCTTCACTTCACTTCAATTCACTACACATCACTTCAGTTCGCTTCACTTCACATAACTTCACTTCACTTCATATCACTTCACTTCACATCACTTCAGTTCGCTTCACTTCACTTCACATCACTTCAGTTCGCTTCACTTCACATCACTTCACTTCACATCACTTCAGTTCGCTTCACTTCACATCACTTCACTTCACATCACTTCAGTTCGCTTCACTTCACATCACTTCACTTCACATCACTTCACTTCGCTTCACTTCACTTCACATCACTTTCACTTTCATTTCACTGTGTTTTCGGATGATTTCTCCTGTATCTTCACTTCGCCTTATTTATCGCTTTCCTAACCCTTTTGCTGCAATTACTTGATTTACAGGAGAGAGGCAGTTGGTTCCGGAGCTACATGCTCCTATTTACAAAGGAATGTGGCATGTGTATTGAACGAGAACTCCGATATTGTGACTCATGCTCATGTCCTACTTTGCAAATGAATTCTAGCAATTTTCTAATGATGACGTAATACTCTACGTCACTGCCTGATAATGACGCAGCCTCAGATTTGTTTCGGACATAGTATAGAGTACATACGCAGCACTTTTAGGTCCTACAAGTTGTTTTTTTGGGGGGGGGGATATTAAAATATAGTCACGCTCCGAGGTATAGTCATGTAGTTTGATGACTTAACTTTTATTAAATATATGTAATTCAGTCAATTATAATACAGTTTATTCAAGGGATCCACGATACCTCAGTCGGTATAGCGATTGGCTACAGGGTAAACGACAAGACGAATGGGAGTTCGAGTCCCGGTAGGGTCAAGAGTTTTCTCTTCTCCACGTCGTCCAGACCGGCTCTGGGGTCCACCCAATGGGTGGACCTGTACAATAGGTACCGGAGGCGCTTTTCCTTGGGGTAAAGCGGCGGGAGCTTGAAGCTGACCACTCACCTCCAGCTAGCGCAGAGGTCAAATAAAAGTGGACCTATACATCCACTCCCCCATACGCTTTCATGGCGTAGTGCTTAATTAGTTAAGCACAGGGACAACTTTACCTTATGATTCATTGATGAATCAGAAAGCGGACAGTTCCCTATTGTGGTTTCCCAGACGTCCTGGGTTTGAATCTTCATCGATGATCCGTTTGTCTTGACTGAAATTTAATGCAAAGGTAAAGTTGTTCCTGTGCTTAACTAATTAAGCACTATGCCACGAAGGAGTATGGGGGAGTGGATGTATAGATCCACGCATTCTTTGCCTCGGCACTAGTCGAAGATGAGTGGTCAGCTTCACGCCCTGGCCGCTTTACCTCCGGTGCCCACTGCATATTAGGCTGGGTGGGCCTAAGAGCGAGGCTGGACGCTGTGATCTGGATGCAGGTTCCTTGCCTTTACCGGGAATGAAAACCCAACGGTTCATCGGCTACTATACCGACTGAGCTATCCCGGCTACTCATAGTGATTCTAACTGATGATAATCACACTACTGCTGTTGATAACTTTAATAGTAACTGATGATATTGCTGATGTTTCTGTGTGTTATTCTACGGCGGTGTCGGTACCTACATCATACACGGCCAAGTGGCACACCAGGAAATTAATTATGAATCTGAAAGGATTTAAAAGGAAACGGTTGCTGCCTAATCGTGGTACTCTCCTTGAATTTAGTTGGAGGTCCTCAGAAAAAGCATGAATAACCTCAAAGAGGATATTCGGCATCCCCCCCCCGTATTCGAACTCTGTATCTCTCGAATACAATTCAAGAGCATAACTGCCAGGCCGCCAACTCGTACAATGGGAGGAAGCTGAGAGCAGAAGTCAGTAAGAACATCTATTTGAATTCATTTCATAATAAAATCTTTAAAGAGTGTCAAAGTCAAAGTCAAAGTCACATTGCGACTGACGGTCAGTCAGTCAGTAAGTCTTGGTGTCGAGCCCCATCTGGGGTTCATGACCAGATATTAATTTTACCGTTTGACAGTTACGGTTTTGTTTTCGTGGGGCGCCCTCACTGACGAGAGGACGGGTCTGTCTTGTGCATATGCTGCTGGCCATTGCCAGAGCGATCTTTCTCGGGTCGGAGTCCCTTGGGACTCGCGACCATATTTTACTGTCTCAGATATGAGGCTTCCCTTTTCGTCGCCTCCTACGACTCGCAGGGTCACGGTCGCATATAGACACATGTCTATATGCGACAGATCGCAAAGAGGGTTTTATTGTTAGAAAACTCCAGCGCGGTCTGAGCTCATTGGAGACCTGGTGTGAGCGCTGGAATATAAAAATTAATGAAGATAAGACTCGGGGGGCCTACTTCTCCCGTGGTCGTCGACCGCCTGAGTCTTGTCTTACTCTAAATGGAAGAAATATTCCTTTTGTACATAGCGCAAAATATCTAGGTGTAATCTTCGATAAGAGAGTGACTTGGAGATTACACATAGAAATGATCGAAGCCAAGGCCTTCAGAACATTCATGTATTTATTTTAAATAATATATACAAATAGTCTGTACCTCACAGAAAACATATTACGTCTCCATAGCAACGCCCAGCCGGTTAATGCTGTTTAAGGAAATAATCGCTGTTTACCGTGAGAACCATATGGAACACACAAATACACTGTGTGGGAAGAATGCAGAGTTTTAATTTGTTAAAGCAAGTGGTACATATAGCAACCACTGGGATTTTTAGGGTTTAAGACCTTCAATGATTTGCTCTTTTCCATTTACGAGGAGTCTGGGCAATCCCATACAAACGGCGAGACGATAAAAGCAGTTGGACACAACCCCGCAATAACAAAACGGGACTTCCCCAGGTAGTGAGGCCTCCACTGTGTTTCCTTATAATTCAGAGTGATGACATGGGGTGGTCTCATGCTTCCCCCTAGCGGCATGTGTGACAACTACACACAATGCTTAACCATAATCAAACCAAAACATTAGATTCGATTCACTGTGAACTTATTCAGAAATATAGGAACATTTCAAAACAGGGGCCTTCATGAATTATTCAAACAGACCGTCACCGTACATACCTGCAACCCTCTTGCATCTTCCTGACTTCACGTTTGAATAGCAGAACTGAATAATGCGTTACAACTTAATGTAAAAAGTAAGTAGGGAAAGTCACCAGTAAGGTTCGGAAGAACACAAATACTAGAAAAGCAATTGGACTGTATACGAAGCCCGGGCTACAATTGAGGCAGGACGTGCCTCAAAGGTGCCTCAGTGCCGGTGGGCTGCATAGTATTTCTTATAAACTTTAATGTATCAAATAAATTCGGCGATTATTAAATATTCTGTTCATGTTTTTTGTTTTCTTGTATTTTGTTGGGTTTATTTAACGACGCTGGATCGCCTCTGTGGTCTAGTGGTCAGAGTTCCTGTCTATGGATCCAGAGGTCTCGGGTTCGATTCCCTGTGCTACCAGATTTTCTGAGAAGTAGTGGGTCTGGAACAGGGTCCACTCAGGCTCGTGAGGATAACTGAGGAGCTATTTCAATGAAATAACGGCTCCGGTCTAGAAAACTGAGACTAACGTCAGAGGGGATCCGTTGCGCTGATCACGCGACACCCTCTATCCGCTAAAGTTGGCACTAACTTCGCCGACAAGCGGCAATCGCTCGGTCGGTATAGTTCGCTTGTGGACTACAGGCCACGGAGTTTAAGTTTTAATTTGACGAGGCTCTCGGTAGCTAGACTATATAGCGTCGAATGGGAAGATGATGGTTATAGGATGAATTGGAAAGGATTTGGAAGGAGACAGTTGTGGCCTAGTTGACGTACTATTCCGTCATTTGACTGGATGGACTCAGGAAGACTACTGGAAAACGTTAAGTCGTGATGACGAGTTTTCCAGGCCACGATTAGAACATTCAGATTTGCTTCAATAATGAAGAAAATACCAAATGTGTAAAGGTAGGGCAAGGTAAAGTTGTCCCTATAAGCACTACGCCATGAAGGCGTACAGGGGAGTGGATGTATAGCTCCGTATTTTCTTGACCTCTGCAATAGCTGGAGGTGAGTGATCAGTTCAGGCCACGGCCGCTTTATCCCCGGGGAAAGAACCCTCGGTACTCATTGGACAGGAGTTTGGGTGGACCCCAGAGCCGGTTTGGACGATGTGGCAAAGAGAAAATTCTTGAACCCACCGGGACTCGAACTCCGACCCTTTGATCATCTAGCCCGTAACCAGTCGCTATACCGACTAGCTAATGAGAGCAATTAAAAGCATTTTTATTAAATGTTTTATAGCAATCCTCGATTTAATAGACAAAATTCTTCGGCACTTCCCGTTAAAATAAAATGGACTCAACATTACGTAAGAAATTAAACCAAATTTTGTTCTTCAGAGTGATTATTACAGAGGAACAAAGCGTAGTGACGTGAGCCCGACCTATCAGTGGCGTAGCAGTCTGAGGGCGGTTGGTGCCTGTGTCCTCACCCGCATTCTTCTGTCTGCAAGTCAACAATGGGCGTGTTGCAGCCCTCTCGTTATGTGAAAATGGGGAGTCCACCCCTCGAAACTAACAACACACAGCTTGGATTAAGCGATCACTATCCCCCACCCCCTTTAGGCAACATTCTCCTTTTTAAAAAATACTCCCTTCTTTTGACGTTCTGCAGTACAACACAATGAAATAAACACAGAAACCC